TAAAGCGAAATTAAATTCTGCAGCTTGGGCTTACATGGCATTTTTTTGGGTGAGGGGAGCTGAGCCAGGAAAGGGGAGGACGCTGTACTGTGTGCAGGGTGCTGCCCAGGAGAAGGCGTGGAGACAAGCACACGAGAAGGAAGCCTGGGTTTGGCAAAAACAAAGCGAAGAGGTCACATCCAGAGATGCAGGACCAGATCGTTCGTTCTCGGTTTTGGGCTATCCTCATTTCACCTTCCAGCCTCTAGATCTACTTTGCAGCCCCAGAAATGACTTCCAGAAGAGCTCCCCTTCCCAGTCAGGGCACAGCATTGAACCTGATCCACCCAAACACTGTGCTGCCAGACGGCTTGGTGCTTGGGTGCCAAGCACTTTTTTGAGCTGCTTGGTGCTAAAACTCTTGGAAATCCAGTCTGATAAACTCAGCTCAAACAGTTCCAGCCATCATATTCACCAAGGCACCTCAGGCAATGACAACAGCTTATCATGACACTCATTACTTCATCTTAGCGGGTAAACACACCTCAGACGTTGCATTTTACCAAGCAATCCTGTCTGTAGAAACCGTAATCAATCATAGAATGGTTTGGGTTGGAAGGGACCTTAAAGATCATCTAGCTCCAACCCCCCTGCCATGGGCAGGGACACCTTCCATTACACCAGGTTGCTCAAAGCCTCATCCAACCTGGCCTTGAATGTTACCAGGGATGGGGCATACACAACTTCTCTGGGCAACCTGTTCCAGTGCCTCACCACCCTCAGAGTGAAGAATTTCTTCCTTAGAGCTCATCTAGATCTACCCTCTTTGCAATGCTCGAGCTATTTCCTTACCCTACCAGAACCCTGCATACAAAACTGCAGCCTCTCAGGAGACGCTGTGCTTTTCCTTGACCCAAATACATCAAACCCAGCTATGATGTATGCCCACCGTATGGGTGAAGCTGTAGCAGAGAAAAGCAGGATTGTGGTTGTGGCATATCTGGGGCTGCTCAGTGGCTCCAAACCCACCATGCACGAGCCCGGGCAGGGCCATGTGCTGGGCCACACGCATGTCCTATCCAACGTGGGACCAAGAGTGGGCTGATATCATGGGCCAAACCCAACTGAGTGGCCATTAAACATTGCAGGGGGTCCTGAGCAGAGCTTAGCTGATGCTTAGCCTCAGCATCAGTAGTGCAGCCAAGTCAGCAGTGATGGCATGGGGAGAGGTAGTGGCTTAGGGGTGGAGTGGGAGCGTGAGGAGGAAGAGGAGGAGGAAGCAGCCAGGGTGAGGAAGCTGCCGCTTAGGGCAGGAACAAGGGTGCTAAACTCTTCCTGAACTTCAGGGAAAGGTGTGGAAAACACGTTGGCTGTCGTGTTTTCTACTGGCTCTACTGCTGGAAAAGAAGTAGAAAAGCTGAATGGTCCCCAGTGCTCCTCTGCCTTGGTAGGGAGGCTCTGGAGTCACTGGCAGAGAGCACACAAAGCGTATGCTTATTTTCATATGTAACAAAAGACACTGCATGCGGCAGGGGTAAGCGGGACACATGGATCCAAAGCCCCAGGCAGTCAAGGAGAGGCTTTCGACAGCTTCAATGGGCTTTAGATCAGGCTGTGAGAGCGCAAAGTCTCTCCGTTCAGAGCCACCTGCATTCCCACACTCAGCTGTTGATTTCAGAAAACAGCCAAAAAAGGCAGCAAGCATCTCGCTGCATGTGCCGCGCCGGGCACACGTGGCTACCACAGAAAGCACCGAGGCAAGGTTAAAGCTGCAGAAAAAATATTTATAAAACAAGCATCCCAATCCATGAGAAAGTAGTCACAGCCAAAGTTCTCTTGGCACCACAAGAGTCCACCTTCCCACCCATCCCTTTCTCCCGAGAGCATCCTCCTCCCTCCACTTCAGGTTCCTGCAGACCCCCCTGCCCCACTCAGCCTCAAACTCCTCTCCCCAATAAACCCGTCTGCTCCTCTCTGCCAAACCACAGAGCCTGTAGGTCACAACTTAGCAGGGCAGTGAGGGACCCAGGACTGGGACATCACAGTGTCCCCTCCAGTCCCTCATGGAGACATCATCCCTCCTGGAGCTCCCTACCCCACACAGGGAGTTTACCTGCGGGATTATGCATGTTGCTTCTTGTCCCCCGGCCTCAGAGGATGCTGCTGTGGGTTTGTTGCCTCTGCAGAGCAGCACGTTGGTGCTCAGGTGTCTGTCGAGGGGACGGGCTTCTCCACCCATGATCATCTGGGCAGAACCCCAGCCCTAGGGAGAGGCTGGGCAGGGAGGATGGCTCTGGACTGGGGCTGCATCCGCTCCAGCTGCACCCACCTGCCCCCACCCAGAGCACAGGCAGAGGGTGAGATCCAACAGCATCTGGCATGAAAAAAAAAAAAAGAATAGTAGAAAAAGCCAACTTTCAATGCCTTTGTTTTATGTAAGAGTCTTACATATGTAAGTTCACATTCTGACCTCGGGAAGCTGCTGGCTCTCAAGGAGATAATCAGCAATTTCAAAACCTTCTAGTTACATAGCACAGACATGTGTCCTGCCTAAATCATCAGGTATGAGGCCAAAAAAGTCCCAGGACTTTGAACCCCAGAGTATCTACAAGTGGTCCATAGATACGAGGTCACCAGCAATCGCATGCACCCAAACATGGGAGCACCCACTGCTCTCAGGTGCAGCTTGGAGGTCAGGTCTCTGCATGGGCTGGAGGAGGTTGTGTCACATGGGTATCAGCAGTCCTGAACCCCTAGAAAGGGTCTCAGGAATGCACTGGCTGGAGGAGGCATCAGGAAAAAACACTGGGAACATCCAAGGTATCCAAAAGCCTAAGCTGGGCTACAGCAGAGTTGGAGCAGAAAAGGCTGATGAGGAATTAAAGCAAAGTAATTAAAAAGCATGTGATGGAGTTAAGGTTGGATGGCCGTCTCCTCTTCACGCAGACAAAACACAAACCAAAGTTAATGAGGAAACATGGACAAGCCCATAACCAAAGCGGCGTCTTTCACCTCTGGGATGTATCACCCTGTACATGTAGCTGATGTAGCTCAGTCAAGGGCCAACCCAACATACCTGCAAAGCCTGCCAAGACAGCCCAGAGCTGGGCAGAGGAGGTGAAGGGACTGGAGGGAGCAGGTCTTCACTGCAAGTCTCCTGACAGCCCTTCTGCAGGACAGATGGTACAAGAACATGGCAGTCATTGGCCATGGCAAGCAGACTGAGATTAGAAAGTTAAGTTGTCACCTTCTAAATGAAACAGAAGTCATTTCAATGCCCCCAGAATAAAATTGGGAAGTATAAGTGGAAAATAAGTAAATGCACAGAACAAAAGAGTAAAAGAAAAGTAAATAAAATAAGTCCCACTGCTCAGTAGATTTGTATTAATCAAAACAAATAAACAAGATGAAGAAGACAGACCTCCTTGCATACCTAAGATTATTCCATCTTATGATTTAGTAAACAATAAACTGCATTAGACCTGCAGCCCCTGTGGAAAGCAATCCAAGTTGTGTTTGGATTAGGAGTTAAAATTTCATACGAGTATTTGGTAAACAGGCTGAGAGCTTTAGTATGCCATCTGGTCTGCCCCCCACTAGCTTTGGAGGTGACTTTGGGAAGTTGCTTCTCTTCTGGTGACTCTATTTTCCGCTTCTGTAAAAAGGGGATAGCAGTCTGTCCTCTTTGCAAAGCGCTTTGCCATCTGGAGATGAAGCCAGCAGTGAGAGCTAGATGTTAGGAGTTTCCCACTACTGACCCTGGAGCAGGGCTACGTGACTTCAGAGTTTATTCTTGTAGCTTTGTCACAAATTTGAGATAAATGTAGGTTCCTAAGTGAGTTTGGCTGCAATTAAGCCTTCTGTGCAATGAGAGCTCGCTCTTGTCCCATGGGCAAGAAGAACCGTTTTTTCCAGCCTCTGCTTTTATGCCCGTTCTCTGTTTTCTTGATCTTTGTTTCTGAACAAGGACAGCTTTCAGAAACATGACCAAGGAGAAGGCAAAGACGGGTTTGTACCTTCAGGCACTGCTGGTGAAATCAAAGGAAGATCTTCCCCTGCACTCAGCACACAGAGCTGTGTGCCAAGGGAGTGTTTGGTGTGGCAAGCTGAGCCCAGGGCCCTCCAAAAGCCCCAGCTGGAAGATCATATGGAGAAGTGTCTTTCGCTTTAGGGAGATAGGGTGTCCCCAAGTATGCAGGGGGATACTGGCATCGTCTTAATGAGACAAATAGGTGACAATTGCAGGAATGTCTAGGACCCAAAAGGCAGGGTCATTGAGGCTCAGATACCATTGCTTGGACCAAGCTGCTGATCCTGAAATGACTCCACCGCAGGGAAACCTCATCATTTCAGAGTCCCACAGGCAGCTGGGCAAACGAATCAAAATTCAGCTCATCCACCAAACAGCCCTTCAGGAGATAAACTCTCTCTGATTATTTTTTTAAACCCATCATAAAAGCTAAAAAAAAAAAAAAAATTCTGTTCCTCCGCACAAGAGAATCCCAGAAATGCGAGCTCAAAAAAGGCTTAGCCAGCTGGTATCAATCCTGTCCCCATGCTCCTGCTCTGGTCTTACCCCATAAGAGCAGGTTAGAGCCGCAGTCAGATCAGAGGCTCTGCACAGCAAAGGAGTTTCCTGAACGTCGTGGAGAATCACACAAATGGCCTTTCATAACTTTAAATTTGCTGTAGGGCATCATGTTGGAAGTTAACGTATGCACTCCTGTTGTACTACTTCAGCATTATAAAACCAGCTGATTATACAACCCCGCCTTGGTCCTTGCACGTGTCTTCAAATGCTCCTACCACCCCTAACATGTATTCCAGATTAGATAATCTTAGTTTTGTAATTGGTCTCCCCTGTGGAGACAAAACCTCCCCTTCCAATGCCTGGTCACCTGGAGCCTTTAAAAAGCACCTCAAAGGCACCCAGTTACAGGAGATCTCTTAACAGGGAGATCTTACCTTCTGGAAGCATGCCAGTGTCAGAAGAGGCCTTTGCTCCAGTGGCCCCAGCCACCATGCCCCAGGAGCCCCAGCAGACAGACTTCCAGCTGGTGCGAGTCAAGAGCACATGGTGCCGCATCAAGAAAGGAGAAACCCTTTCCGACTGCAAGGACAAGATAACTCTCTCCGAAGCAAAAATGTAAGTATAGAAGCCCACGTTGCTCATTGGCGACTCTGCTGGATGGCTCTGGCTAGCCAGGCTTTGCGGTATGCCTGGTGGGATGCATCTCAGACGGAAAAACCATCGTGTGTGCCCTCGTGGCTTCAACCCATCATTACGTATACATCCCTACAAAAGTGGGCTTCAAAATGTGTGAAATATGGCAGCACAGGTATTTACTGTTCTCCTTGGCATGACTTGGCTAACTTACGGAGGGAATTTTATCAACAGCCTGAATTTTTGTAAATGGGAAGTTCCTTTAAACTTCTGAAAAGCTTACGTACAGAATTCTGAATGCTGCACTTGAGCTTTTCTTACCCTTTCTGTACATGCATGGAATCTTTGTGTTCAAAAGCTGGTGCACAGCCATGGGAGAAGGACACATTTATAGAGAGAGTTGCAGGTAAATGAAATGCCTAGATGGGAAAAATAAACACAGTAGGTCACTGACAGAAGCAAAAACTGTGATGCATCTCTCAAACTGTAGAAGTCACCCAACGTTTCTTCAGACAGAGAAGAGAGATAAATTTCCCCCAGGGATATACACAGCTCTTTGTTGATATTATCAGTTAATTATCCTTTAATTACAGGATACTACTTATTACGAGCACACGGAGCCCCGTTTTTGAGGCAAGTCTTCTTAACACGGCTGTTTTGCCTGTCAGAAGTTTTCTAGCACTTGTCATACTCAGGTTTTAACGTCACAAGTCTAACCCTTTTCCTGGTCAGGTCAGAGGGATCTTTACCGGCGCTGGCGGTGGGCAGTGACCGCGTGCATTGCTTGGGTAGAGCTGCAGTAGATAAAACAGGACTTTAGCAGACTCAAAAACAGTCTACTGGACCTCAGTGAATAGCAAGATGAACCCAGGGCCCAGAGCACACCCAGAAAAGTCCTCAGCTGACATGCACTCCAACAAGGGTATGTTCAGCCTCAAATTCACTACCAATTTTCACACAGGGAAGGGGTTGCACTGGATGCTAGTTGTGCCATTCCGCACCCAAAGCTGGTTCCATCAACTAACATTTAAAACCATCCTGTCTCTTAGAAGGGTCAAATGCCGGAGACAGATGCACATGGACATAAAGTACAGCTATAAGGTATATATTTGGTGCATTATGACATACATGGTGTTGGGTTTTGTAATACGGTATCTTAAAAGCCCAGAAGATATTTTCTGGAAGGTGTAAATCCTCACTGTTTTTCTTTAACACTTAAAAAGGTTGGGGCCAGGTTTAGAGGCAATTTGGTAAAGAAAGCAGAGAAGCATCTATTTAGAAGTATGAGAGAAAGTTCAGGCATGTGGAAAGAAATTGGGCATGTATGGAAATCTGATTATACAATGAGCCATCCGCTCATTCAAAAACAAAGCAAAGGTTTGTGGAAACTTTAAATTTTTACCCAACTGCAGATCAAGAAGAGATCTCATATAAAACATTTTTTTTTTTTTAAAGACAAAACAAAACTGCAAAATAACACCCAAAAACTTTTCCTGATTCCCAACAAACTAAAAAAGTCTCTTGTTTTTCACCTGGCTCCCCCTTCCCAACAGGAGAAGTAATAGCTGTGCAAGGCTGTGTTCTTCACTGTTTTAGATAGGTACTACATGCCAGCTTTGTAGGCTTCTAAATTTATCCTTTCAACCTCCACTATGGAAACCTTTTCCAAATCGCAAATAATTACTTTTTTAATTTTAACTACCTGGGAACACTTCCTATTTCTATCATACCTGTTTCAAGGTAAAGAGAGCCACTCTTCCCCCCAGCTACATCCTTAAACTAATTCAGACATGTAAAGCACAAAAAGAGGAATATAATGATTTCAAACCATGTTTTCTGATCCTTGCCAGAGGTGAATGTGTCTCCGAAGGTGGGATTTCCTGGACAATTGAAGCTCCCATCTATTTTTGCTACAAAGTGGTAGAAACATACAATATTCTGGATCCCTCTAACACTACTCTGCTCTGGGGTCACATTACTGACGCCCAGCAACTAGAGTTAGCCACTGGTAGCAAAAAGAAGCTGAGGCGCTTCATTGTCATAGATGAAGTTGTTGATGAACTTTATGGCTCCAAAGTCAGAGAATACTTTGAAGAGAACAACGTTCAGCACAAGATCCTCGCCCTGCCTACCACTGAAGAAACGAAATCCATGGACCTGGTCTTGAACATCTTGCAAGAAGTCCAGAACTTCAGCATTGACAGGCGAACAGAGCCCATCATCGCCATCGGAGGCGGCGTCTGCCTGGACATCGTAGGACTAGCCGCGTCACTCTATAGAAGACGTACCCCTTACATTCGGGTCCCAACAACCCTCCTCTCTTACGTTGACGCCAGCGTGGGGGCAAAGAACGGGGTGAATTTCCTGCAGTGTAAGAACAAGCTCGGAGGGTACACCCCTCCAGTAGCGAGTTTCCTGGATAGATCCTTCATTCAGAGTATTCCTCGGCGACACATCTCCAATGGCCTTGGTGAAATTTTAAAGGTATGAACTTTTGCAACTGCAGTTTTCAAAACTGAAATCATAGAATCATAGAATATTTTGGTTTGGAAGGGACCTTTAAAGGACACCTAATCCAACCCTCCTGCAGTGAGCAGGAACATCTTCAACTAGATCAGACTGCTCAGAGCCCCATCCAACCTGACCTTAAATGTTTTCAGGAATGGGGCATCTACAACCTCTCTGGGCAACCTGTGCCAGTGTTTTACCGCCCTCATCATAAAAAATTTCTTCCATATATGTAGTCTAAATCTACCCTCTTTTAGTTTAAAAACATTACCCCTTGTGCTATTGCAACAGGTCCTACTAAAAAGTCTGCGTCCATCTTTCTTATAAGTCCCTTTTAAGTACTGAAAGGCCACAATGCTGGTAAGATGTCCATCAGCATCCATGGCATTGCATATATCACCCTATAGAAACAAGAGTGGGCCATCAAGGCCACGTGGGGACTTTTAACTCTCATTGAGCCTATGTATATTTCTACAGCTGCTAAACTTGTTAGAATATCCTTTACACGCAGTGCCTAGTGCTAACCCTGCAGAGTAAACTTCAAAACTCAAGGCTAGACGTAGACACAGCACAACCAGGGGAGAAAGCATCTTCCCATTGAGGCTGATCCATAGTACTCTGAAATGAACTGCTGGCAGAGAATTTGAGGTTCATTATACTGAGGATTAATAATCTGCAAGATCATTTGCACCTACCTCACAGGCTATGTTGAGTGTGGTCAATCAATCTCCTGCCAGACAAATTCTATTTCTAAAATTACCTGGGAAGTGCACAGTAAATGGTTTTATGCCTGAAGAGCTTTGAAAACTTTTGATAAAGCAGATTTCAAGCTATTGAAGTGTATTAAAGATGAGTTCACCAGTAGCATTTCTCTGTGCTTGCACAGTGGGAACTCCCCAGGATATCTGGAGGTTTCTGGCAGGAACTGGGAAACTCGCAGGTCACCATTCCCCACTGCAAGAGGGAGCTAATGCCTAAGTCAGAGGGTGAAAAATATGTACTTGCAACAATGAAACCACTTCTGAACCCTCCTATTGCCCATATTGCAGTGCTTTCCCACCTTCCCTTACCCAAACAGCAATTCCAAGGATTAGATGAGTTGTCCTGGGGATGGCCACCATTCAGCTGAGACACTCTCAAGTTCCCCGCCAGGCACACAAACAGCCAAAGCTCATTACAAACTCTCTGCTGGGCTACTGGAGTTTGTAGCAAGCTCACAGCATGGTCAGGGTTGCACAGTAGCAAGGGAACTTGCCCACCAGTGGTCCCATCATCTCTGCCATTTAACCAGAGCCCCACTGGGCATTTCCACACTGTCTTTTGCCTGCATCTTCACTTACCATAGGCTGACAACATGTATAAAACCACCAGGTCACATTTCCTAGAGGCCTGAATACACACCGAACTGGTATATCCTCCCTACACCTACAGCGCCAGATACATCCTACCAAGAACTGTGTCTGAAGAAATACTTTTGCATGTTGCAGAGGTGGAACTTGTCCATGCACCAAGTGTGTAGGTATTTTTTTGCTGATGTATAGCACGGTGTTATACTCCAGTCTATTGGAACATTCCAGTTTTCAACAGCACCTAAAAGGATCACATAATTATCTTTAATAACCTCTTCTGTTCTACCCTAGATGGCACTCATGAAACACAAAGGGCTGTTTGACCTGCTCAAGAGCCATGGGAAATACCTGCTGGACACCAAGTTCCAGTCCTACAGTGGCTCTGCTGGCCACGGGGATGCTGCACTGCAGACTACCAGAATTGCCATCGAAACCATGTTGGAAGAGCTAGCTCCCAACCTCTGGGAGGATGACCTGGACAGACTGGTTGATTTTGGTCACCTTATAAGCCCAGAGCTGGAAATGGTGAGTACTGGACTTTATATTTCAACTCTGTTTTTTTTAAAAAAAAACAAGTTTTCAGTTAGCAGCATGGAAACTTTATGCCAAAGGAGCTGAGCCTGGTCCTGTTGGATAGAGAGCCCTCTTTCCCTGTCCCATTCCCCCCACACCTCCACCCATGTTTCCTATTCAAACTGCAGGCCAGTTACTGCTTCTCACCACTTACCAAAGCACAAAGATGACCTGGTTTCAGTGAAGCCATTAGAAATTACCAACATGAGCTACAACAGTGAGATGGTGTGGAGACCATAACCTGTATCACTGGGGAGGAATTGCCACTGAGGAATAACCTCATGCAAAATTCAGAGCTCTTCTCTCCATCCCATGGTGTTCTTCACCAGTGATTTGAATGGGAGGAGAATTAGATCCTGGATCCCTATGGGAGATTTTACATGCAATTAATCACCTGTAAAAGAGATCATCATCTGCAACCCATAAATCACAAGATGCTAACATCCACCAAATCTGTACCTCTACTGCTGTGAGTCGAACGTCAATTTTCACATGTAGCTTTAAAAAAAGCCTACTTATTTACTATTTGCCAACCCAAACCTTTCCCCCCACCCACCTTTGCGCCGTTTCAGAGGGTTTTGCCATCGCTGATGCACGGAGAAGCTGTGAACGTTGACATGGCGTTCATGACGTACGTCGCCCACGCGCGGGGGCTCATCACTGCCGAGGAGAAGGAGCAGATCATC